CATGATTTCCAAAATACTAATCTCAAAGAATTACAAGAAGATTACAAGTATCACTACTAGATTTTAATCCTTTAGCAATATTTTCTTGTTTACATTTATTAAAATGTTACTATATATTAAATAAATATGTTATTTTGTAACACTTTTTTGAAAAATGTCATTATAGGTAGAGTAACATTTTTTATTTCAATATTATTCTTTCTAATTACTTTCAAAATCAAAGTCCCATATCGAGTAAAAAAGTTTTACATAAGTTATTTTGCAACATTTTTTTGAAAAATGTTATTATAATTGCTTCTAAAATCAAAGTCCTACATCGAGTCAAAAAAATTATATTTCTCTTATATTTAATTGTAACCCATAATTAAAGTCTCACATTGAATAGATTAATGACTCATAAAGAGTATATATACTCATATAGTTATATTTATGATAAATGAAATTTGATATTCTATATATAATTAGTGGTGACTAACTAAAAATGTCTTTCTCTAAAAACTCAAGGAACTCCTAGAAGTTTAGGAGACATAAAAATATAATAATTGATAGTAATATTTAAATTAAAATTAATTATTATTTTATAAAGTTATCAAATTCTTAGCAACATCATTAAAATGTTACAAAAAATTGTTAAAATGTTACAAAAATACTACTTTGATAATATTTAAAAAATGTTACCTAATTATGCAAAAATGTTATTAAAAGTCTTTAACAACATGGACTATATACAACATTTGATAATATGTTACTAAAACAAATTAGCAACATTTATACATAATTAAGTAACATTTTTTAAATATTGCTAAATACCATTTGTGTTGTAGTGTACGAAAAAAAAAATCAATGATGTAGAAGAGGTAGATCAAATCTTTCCAGAGAAATTTGAAAAGAGTGAAAAATGTCTAAATTAAAGGTAAATGCCCTTAAGTATGATAATGTTAAAGAGACCAATCCCCTATTGTTGCGACTTCCCTGTAGTTTTCCACTAAACATTAGCATTATCAATTGGAATTGACTTCTCAATTCTCATTTGATCAATTTTTTTATACCTAGAACAGTTCCCATCTTCGATTACTTTTACTATGGTGGAGACCGAAAATCGCAAGACTTTGACGGTGCAATTCTCTTTTACCATGGCGTTGAAGTTTAGTTACTTTGTCACCTTTAACTTGTTTTGCTCATTTTGTCACAACTTTTGTCATGACTATAGTGTTTGAACATGAAAATAGAAAAATTATAATGTATTATTTATTAATGAAATTATATCGAGATAAATATCTACAAATGATAAATTTAAATAACAAAGATTAAAATAAATAAGATAAATAGTTTAGAGAAATTTGAGTTAAGGCACACTAGGCAAACTATTTTTAGAAAGGAAATGCATGATTTCCAAAATACTAATCTCAAAGAATTACAAGAAGATTACAAGTATCACTACTAGATTTTAATCCTTTAGCAATATTTTCTTGTTTACATTTATTAAAATGTTACTATATATTAAATAAATATGTTATTTTGTAACACTTTTTTGAAAAATGTCATTATAG